GGCTTTTTGACTGTTTGCAAGCAGTATGATAAACTAAAAGAGCTGAAAGATAACTGAAATGCATGAAGTCTATCAAGGATCATCATATCTAACATGCTCAAAAAATTACCTGGTCCTTTCTTGAATACTTTTTCGGTCATGAAGGATAGGAAACGTTGAGCATAGAAGCTGGGATTATGGACAGAAATAGAGTCCTAAAGTTTATCCAATAATCAAATCAACAAATCCCTAAAACATAAAACCAAGGTGGAAATATGCAGAAACATGAGATGAAAGAAAAGAAAATTGTAAAAAGCTCCTAAATTTGCCAAAGCCTGCCAATATGACTAACCCCATCATGCAAGATAGCCTTCCAAGTATGCTCCATCTTCTTCAATAATCGGTAGTTTTGAAGAATATCGATTATTCCTGCAACATGGATCATCACATTTTTTGAGTTCTTATTGAAGCGATAAAATAAATAAAAAGATAAAATGAAAAAAGTACTGTCTCTATAATTATAGAACTACTCACCTAAGAATAAAATCAATCTATCGCCGTTAGAATTCCTAGCCGGAACCCCTCCTGGCGGAACAGAGGCTTCAAACTCGGATTGATCCCACACAGAAAATTTGGTTTGCAGCGGCTACAAAACTGTTTTTTGAAGAAAAAAATAGCTTGAACTGATCATTAACGAGATCTAACCTTCTTCCGTGGCTCCCCTTCTCCCCGACTAGTGCTTGGTAAATCATCAACTTGTTCCATGTCGTCTTCGCTATCTTGCCGTGATGCCTGATTACGACCGCCTGGTGTCAACTCAACATTGTGTATACCGACTAATAACGAATAATCCATGATTTTGAAGCTCTCCAAAACCTGAACTTTAATATTTTACTCGTATCTGTAATCGAAAAATCTCAAAAATCTCTGACAAGGCAATCCCGGCTTATCGTTCGCAATAAACTATCATACGAGACTGGATCCATTATGAGGCCTTCATGTGGATGATTTTCGATAAAATCTAAGTCCTTCAAAGTAGGTGAGGCCTGAAATTCATTGTCAATAAGGGAGCAGAAATGACAAATCCTCTAAATTTGTTGTACCTTTGCCCTTTCCATTTTCGAAGCTAATCGCTTGTAAGTGGATCCCTTGAGATCATATTTCTCATGCATCGTTACATTTTGGGGCAGTAAATTGTTCATCACTAACAAACGAATATTCTTACCCAAACTCTGAAAGTATTTCAAATGTGCAAATAATAGCAAAGACCAGTAAGTAT